TTTTGCTGCTGCCCGCAGAGGTTTTGCAAGCAGATTTGCAACGCACTAGCATGAGCGTAAGTGTTAATACATGCTTTTTCTCTCTCTGCGTCCCACTTTGTTTCTTGTACGGTAGGTCATAAGCATGAAACACCCCACAGTCTTGCTGCTGATTTCCTTTTTGTAGCAGGGAAACATTGGAAAGTTCTGGTCCTGTTGATGGTTCACACTGGGATGGTTGGCATGGTGGTTTGTGGTGGTGACAAAGAACGTGACGTGCAGTCAACTGCAGCTGTTCTCAATGAGATTGGTGTTGGAGGGTTGTCTGCAGAAGTAGCTACTGACAATGAGGCAGCATTGAAATCTTTGGTTGAAAGAGGCCTTGCAGCTAGTTCAGCACGAGGCTTCACTGAAGAAACATTTCAGAGGCAAGACTCCAGACAAAAGGCATCGAGAGAGCCGTTTGCATCATGAAAGAAGGGATCTATGCCAATTGGTTGGCACTTGAACGCCATTGCAATGCCAGGATTCCGTTGGAATCCCCCCTTTTGGGATATTTGGTGGGACATGTCTGTAGGACGTACAACGCATACTGTGAGGGAAAGGCTGGGAGCACCCCTTAGAACGTTTGAGAGAGAAACGGGGAGGTCAGACACCTAGGTCATCCTTTTGGGGCAGTTGGGTTTTTGAAACCAATTCACCCTTCAAAATGGCCTGGTCAGCGTTGGTGTTGTGCCATTTTCTCGGCATGAGGTATGTGACTGGTGGAGGTTGTTTGGGGCACCCGTTTTCTGTTGATGCTGAAGGGTATCGTGAGGTGATCAAGGGTCACTCTTTCAAATTGAAGGAGCCTCTCCAGTATGATGTTGAATCTCTTTTTCCTCTTTTGGCAGGCGTCAGGCCACAGGACTTCCCAGAACCACGTCTTGAGGCGCCACAGGCAGAGCAGGCCTTACCCCCACCTGATTTTCCACCAGAGTTGGATCCACCAGTTCTTCCAAGGAACGAAGTGTCTCCACAGCCCATTGCAGATGGAGCTGAAGGGATGGATGTAGATGCAGGTGACATAGTAACCACCAAGGAACCTGCATCTCATGCCGAGCAGGAACAGCATGAACCGATGCACGGCCTTAAACTGGTAGTCAAAGAGGAAGCATTGCCCCTGAGAGAGCAGCCGGAATTCCCAGCACTAGCAGAACTGGCCAAATGAGGTTTGCTCGCTCCGGACACATGGAACTGCAAACGAGCGCAAATCAGCCTGAAAGCCTCGATCGATGTACCAATGCTTGGCACAATTATTGAACAAAACGGCGATGGACTCCTTGAACAGTCACATATGCCAGTAGGCTGGCCACTGCATATTGACGGAGCTGTCCGACAAAGCTGCGCCCATCGGGACACAACCTTACAGGAGCTGGACGATTTGCTTGGTGAATATGACCTGAAGAGAGACTTGGTCGAGATCAATCGCAAAGCACCCCAATGGTCTCACAACGCAGTGTGGAATAAACGATATATGGAACCAAAGCCAGGGTTCGCCTTGCAACAACTGTGGGCAGACTCAGAGTCAGCCATCACACAGAAAACATCCCCCTCCTATGATGGCCATTACAGCCGTGCCAGCTGCCACATTGCCTGAGAGTGCTTTCCTCTTGGCGCTACGAACCCCAGCGCTCCGAACGGTCCCACCACAAACTGGATCACTAGCGCAAAGAGCTATAGAGGAGTGGGAACGAAACCTTTGTGAGAACAAAGCAGTAGCAATCCTGGAGCAGATGCAAGCCGGCAGACCAGCCCTCATCAAAAAAGATGGAGAAGAGATGCTCATTGCCATCGTACTTGATAGGCCACTCGCAGAGGCTAAAGCGTTGGTGGAAGCTCCCGATGCTTTCATCCAAGCAATCACCAGGATCATGCAAGACAAACAGAATCATCCAGTTATTGCACAAATGATCAGGCCGGGTGTAAGCGATGACCCACCACCCGCGGAGAGTACAGCCAGTTCCTCCGGAGGCTACAGCCACCGAGTCGGCGTAGCACGCACCCCAGCGCAGCCGCAAACGCACTTCCAATAAGTGCAAGCGGGCAACGTGAGGTTCCCACGGTTGCCACTCACCGAGAACTGGCACCGGTGCTACATTGACCCACGTCATAGGTGTTACCGGTCAACATGAGGTACTCATGGTTGGCCAGTACACCCGTGACCCAGCAGAGGTGGTGATGAATTATAATGCACTTAGCTGGTAGACTACATACAAGGGTAGGAGTGAGAAGAAGATTGGTATGGGGGAGGTGGCGCGGGTTAATAAATAGACACTATACTAAACTAGTAGTTTCTAGCGTGGGATGATGTCAAAGCACATCAAGCCATGGAACCCGTTGCTGTTTGCCCGAACTTCAAACCAACATCCTGACCTACCGAATACGACTTCCAAATGGACGTCTTCATTCCACCCTTGCTCAAATGAGTAGATGACACTGCCGTTGATGAATGGACTGCGCAGCCGCTCTACAACCGCAGAACACCCCGCGTGTAGTTTCGGCTTTTTTTTGCCCGTCCGACTGCAATGGAGGATGCTGCAGTCAATCGCCTAGCAAAGTCAATTACTCAATTGACACTGTTTCAAGTCACTACAGACGAAGTTGATGCCGCCACCAAACTGCTCGACAAGGCATGCCAGAAGCTTCGAGGTATCCCAGACGTCCCATCCCAGAGGATCACTGACCTTGAAGCTGCCATACGCCAGATGCGTCAATTGAGCTGCATCGCACGATCTCCGCCAGTTACGAAGTTAGCCAGGCGCAAAAAGCCATACTGCTTATGCCACGCACAGCCAAAGGTGCAAGCACGTCATCTGAAGAGCTAAATGCACAGATTTCACCACGCACAGATGATGAACATAATCTTCCAGCTCATGAAGACTATTGGCAAGAGCACTAGGGTACCGGAGTTGACCGCAAACCCTGGCAGCTCTCCAAGTGAACCGTTTTGGGCACCGTGCCCATCAACAAGCACCTTTAGAGTTGAGCTCAGGAAATTATCCAAGAGTATGATGATTGGAAAAGCACTACTGAGCGGACTCTGTGGGCTGTTGGTGCCCCTTCATCATTTCTCACAGTAGCTCATGTTTCACTGTCCGTTTCACCTTTCTTTTCACCACTCTCGTTGCGACACGGCTTTGTCGTTGTTTGCTTCGAAGTGACTATATGTGAGCTGTTATGCCTTGACGGCTTGCGCCATGTGATCTCGGGGATCCTGGCTGGGGGGATCCCTGGTTTTCGCATGGTGCTTTTGTTGCTTCGCTCACCTTCTGGTATGGCCTTGTGATTTTGATGTTCTTCCCTTTGTTTCTGCTGCCATACCATGTCAAGATGATACAATGTTATCACTCTTGCATCAATTAGCCCATGAACTGGCACCTGTCACGCCTCTGTTTGGCTGTTTTGTTTTGGGTTGCTGTGTTTTGCTTTGTTTTGGTGGGTTTGTTTTTGGTTTTTGTTTTCGGCTTGTGGTGACTTCGTGACGGACTACTGGACTATGCGCAGGTCCTATACCAGTTCACTCTTGAGGCCCCTCAATCTGCAGACGGCCATGTATGCATTAATTAACCAATTAACCCTATTTTGCAACATGCAATTGAACGTGTTGGACGACCTGGCGGAAGCCATGAAGGCGTTGGACGGAAAAAAAAGATGCAGGTGAGGTAGGTGAAGGTCCTGAGCCCATGACGATCGACAGGGTCGATGAGGGTTCAGAAGGGGAAGGATCTGAGGAGGAAGAAGGGGATGCGTGGTTGAACAACCTTATTCTTCAAACACAGGCTGATGTGTGGAACATGTTTTGTTTGAAAGAGTCTGGTTGTGTTTTCCCTGTTGGTGAGGGAAGTAGTGATTTCTTTGTAGAGGACTTTGGAGGTCAAAAGGTTCGAGTCGACATTCCTGAAAGTTCCTTTGACGAGCTCACTGGAGCTGCTTTGGACTTTGAACAGGTGAAACAGGGAATGAAGACTGAGGTACAGCAGCTTGAACGACTGAAGGTCGGGCGCTGTCTTGTCGAACGTGACGGCCGGGCACTAGCTAAGGAGAAGCAAGTCACGGTCTTGACCTCACGTTGGGTATTGACCCAAAAGACCTCAGAAATCGTTCGATGGCGCCTTGTAGTACGAGACTTCGCTACGGGAGGGACCTCAGCCTTGAATGCTGGGATCTACGCGCCAACGTCGTCGTTGGACGGGCTTCGTTGTGTGCTCGCAGTCTCCGTGGTGAAAGATCTCAGTTTGCTGACTGCTGACTGCTGATGTTTCTGTGGCGTTCATGCATGCGCCCGTGGAAGCTGAAGCTTGTGACTTAGTGTTACTTCCGGCGAACATTACAATCAAGGGATGTCGAGTGATTGCGTGGCTAGGGAGGCCATGAATGGGCTCAGGCGAGCCCCACTGTTGTGGTTTCTCGAATTGCAGCGGGTGGTGTATTCCATGGGAGGTCAAGACACCTTTGAGAAGCGGGGTGGACGTGTCCATCGGAGTGGGACAGCAAGGGCGGTACGTTCCGTGACTTAGGATGCTGTCAATGTATTTGACAGCATCCTCCGTGAAGCGGGAAAGTATTTCCCTTGTAACCTCGTTGCACAACGCCTGCCAAACCAAACAAATTGAAAACACGTTCATGTACTGTTTTCCGTTTAGTAATTTCCCAGGAAAGTATTTCCTGGAATCTTTACTATGTTTTGTCGTTACTCCCAATTTGATGCATGAATGTATTTCATCCCTCGGGGAGTTCTTCATCTTACTGGTGAGTAAGTCTCGAAATTATAATCCCGTCTATTTGGGATAGGTTTTCCAAACTGTCTTGGGTGAATGTATTTCACGATGTCTTTATATTAAATCCTGATGAAAGTACTTCATCATGGATTGACTGTGGGTTTTAAGTTTGTTTCGTCAGCAACTGCTGGCTCTGAGGGGGCCTTTCAAAGAAAGGGCTGTAGGGAGTACGCCCAATGCACTTGGGCTTCGTGTGACGCGATGGAGCCAGATGAACCCCTGAGGGGCTTCCGGGCAAGGTGGCAAGCACGCGCAACAGCGTCTGAAGCTAGCCCGAAGCTCGACGGGGACGATGCAGATGGTTGGGAAGAAGTTGGGCTGGAGGCCGAAGAGGACCCAGGGCCTGCAGAGCCGGCCGCAGAGTTGAGCGAGATGGAAGCACAAGAGAGGTTGGATGAACAGAGAGCGGTGGAGCAGGTGACCCCAGAGGAGCTGGAGACATACTGGAGTGTCCTGCCTCCGGGGGTCAAGGAATTGGTGTCCATGAACGGCGAGGTCTCCGCCGACCTCCTGGCCTACGTGGCCGATACCGACCAGGAGAGGATGGACATTATGAGGCAGTATGGCTGCCCGGAGCATGAGGTGGTTGAAAAGGCCACGGTGCTCGAAGCTTTGCAGTTGACCGCCGAAGAGAAGGTGGCACGATTGAGGAGGAACAGAATTGCGAAGCGGGGTGCGCAGATGGCGGTTGACATGGCTGCCAAGGCAAAGATGCACAGGCAAAGAGTGGCAGGTGAGCTCAAAGAGGGCGAGGTGCCGACTAAGACCTGGCTGGAAAAGCATTCCGGGGCAATTCTGATGAGATGTCGGAGGAGGTCGACGGATGTCGAGCTCGACGCAGAGACGGCCGAGACAGTGAAGCAGCGGGAGCAGCACCAATGGGAGGTGGAGGCAGAGAAAGTGGTTGATGTTCTGGAGGAGAATGCTGACCTCCCGATAGTGCGGGGTGCCGGAGACTCCAGAGACCCCCGGGAGTACCTCAAGGCAGCAGTGGGGGCATACCGGGCATCCACACTGAGAAAGAGACTCAGGGAGTGGAAGAAATTCCTGACATGGTTGGAGATCGTCCACCAGGTGAGATGGCCATCCCGCAGGGCCCATGCGATCGACTACTTGGTGGAGCTGAGGTTGTCAGAAGCACCACCGACGGTGCCCCAGTCCTTCGGGACGACCCTGGCTTTCTTTGAGAAGGCCGCAGGCATCGGGCCAGGAGCAGCAATCTCCTCAGATGTGGCCTTCAGGAGAGCGTTGGACATGACCAACAAAGAGATGGAGCAGAGGAAGCCAGAGAAGAAGCAGGCACCGCTGCTACCGTTGAAGGTGATAGCGGCCATGGAGATGCTGGTGGTGAGCCCGTCCAACGGAACCTTTGTGCGGTTCTCGGCATGGTGCAAGCTGGTCAAGATATGGACGGCCAGCAGAACAGATGACCTCCAAGGGATATCTCTGAAGACCATGAAGTTCACCAAGGCAGGGCTCTTTGGCGTCTTCTGGAAGACGAAGGTTTCGGGGCCCGGGAAGAAGAACAAGATCCTCCCCTTTATGGTCAGCCGGAAGGTGAGCATCACGGGCTTGCCGTGGCTGGAGACGGGGATGCGTATCTTGGAGGACAGGTACTGGTACCCAAGGGACTACCTGGTGCCGGTGTTCCCTTGTGGGCTGGAGGACATCGAGGAGAAGAGGCCAGCCACGTATGATGACTTCGTGGTGATGACCAGGGTGGTCTACTCCCGGCTGAAGGAGTGCTCATATGATGATGGGAGATGGGTGTCCGGCAGGGGCCCTTTGCTGTTGCCGGAGCTCTACAAGCTGTGGACGGAGCACTCCGAGCGCAACTGGATTGTGTCAATGGCAGCCTCCGCAGGCATACCGAGAGAGGAGAGACAGATGCTCGGGAGGTGGGCAGTCAAAGAGAGCGGAGACGAGTATGTCCGGTCTGCTCAGAGGATTGTCGCCAGGATCCAATGCAGCCTCCTGGACAAACTCCGGAGTGACACGGAGTGGGACTTGAAGAATTCAGGTCTCGAGGAGGTGAAGGACCACATCGTCATGGTGAAGTATGACGAGGAGTCCATCAGAAGGCAGATGTGGAAGCTGGAGATGCCGGAAGTTTGGACGCCGGTGGACTTGGACGATCCGGCACTGCCTGTGGTGGAAAGGCCCCCGGGGGTCGAGGTTGAGGAGGTGGCGAAGCAAGCGCCGGACCCCCCAGCGGAGGTGCCATCCATCAAGGAACTGATGGACGAGAAGTCGGGGGCCGACGACGTTGGGAGCGAAGAGGACGACATAGACGTCCAAGGGAAGTTCTTCGTGGCCATCAACGTCCGCAACCGCCACAGGAAGCTCCATATTTGGGGCAAGTGCGGGACAAAGCCCGGACAGAACTTCGCGGCTTACGAGCCCCACGACAGCCTGAAGGGAGTCAAGTTCAACTCCATCTGTGGGCACTGCTGGAAGGGCAAAGACCCGATGGAGGCAGAGGACAGCTCGACGACGTCCAGCTCGAGCAATGTCGACTGAAAAAATGGGGGGCGTTGGAGAACTCCACATGGGGTAGGAGTTGCAGGTGTCCGTGCAGGGAACCCATTGGGAAGGGTCGATGGCTTAGTGCCAAGTGAAGGCCCAGAGAACCCGGGGAAGCGATGGACATGGCGCCGGGAAGGGTCATGCATTGACCCAAGCGAGCCCGGTCCGAGTGATGATAAGCTCGGAGGTGCCCTGGAACTCGGGTAAAGTATTTACCTGGGAGGGGACCAAGCGGCGATGGATGTCGTTTAGGCTCTGTCATGATCGTGTTGGTGCACAACGTATTTGTGCTGCAGCAGACCTGTAGGGTCAAGCAACACGTTGACAGAAGTTGAACAAAACATGAGGGTTTACATATCTCATGATGATGTGTAATGTTCCTCAACATGCGAAAGCATGAGGTGTCTATCGGCATGTCTTGTCGATCAGCTGAAGGTGCATGCAGGTGTAGGACTTTCCAACACCCAGCGGCGCGGAGTCTTGAGCCATGCCGTTGCTTGCGCTCACAGACGCGCAGTCGGAGGCGGCGATGGAAGCCGCAGACTCGGACTTGAAGTACCTGCTGTCCGAAGTGGGGGTCCCAGAAGAGGTGCAAGCAGCCTTGTACCACAGGGGGTACACCTCCATGCGGTTGTTCTCTGGTATCGATGAAACCAGGGCTGAAGTCCGTTTGGCGCTCAACGCCGAGATCGGATTAGACCACACAGCAGGGAACGCTGAGAGGCGCAGCACAGCCTTAGTACTTAGCGCCTGGGAGACATCGAGGACGCAGCAGAAGTCCAGCGATGAGACTAGGGCAGAGGCCCGGGCAGCAATGGTGCCACGGCCGGTGCCGGTCAATGAGCATGCGATGCTCAGGGAGGCCCTGGAGAGCCAGATAGGGCGCTTGAGGGACTACGAGGTTCCTGCAAAGAGCTTCATTGCGGCAAAGTTGGATGACATTGAAACCAACTTGCCGAAGTTGGAGGATCTCAGAGATGTGGCCTCGATAGAGGACGGAGAAGCAGACTTGCTCCAAGGGAGCCTGGACGCCGCCACAGGGACCTTCAAGATGAAGGCAGCGCGCAACACGGTGACTATGCCGAAGACAGCAGAGGAGCTCCGCTTGAGGCATCGCCGTATAGGTCTGGCCTGGGAAATGGCCAGGACAAAACACAGGAACCGTGTTTGGCTGCAAGGAGGGCTCGTGGAGGCCTATCGCCATTTGAGCGATCACGTGCTTGGAAAGCATGTGCATGGCCTACAGCTACCACACGAACAAAAACCCCGTTGGGAGTTAGTGCTCGGGTACGAGCAAGAGGTTCGGAAACGTGCCTACCAACTGCTCCGACGAGGTGAAGAGCCCACGTTGGAAGATGCAATGAAGAGGGCCATCAGTGACCCCGAGACCATGAACCTCCACTTTGTGGTGCCGCTGACGACAAGTATCGCTGCGAGCCACAGCAGCAGCAGTGGTGGGCGCCAGGGGGGAACCACGGCCAAGCCAGGCCAAGGAGGGCCAGGCCCAAACAAAGGCTCCAAAGGAGCAGGACGTGGCCCCAAGCCGGTCAAGAAACTACAGGTGAAGACCCCTGATGGAAGGCCGTTATGCTTTAAGTATAACAATAACAACAAGTGCGTTGCCAAGAACTGCAACTTCGTGCACCAGTGCCAGCGATGCTTGGGAAACCACCCCAAATCGGCATGCAACACCATCCGGAACGACACGGCCAAGGCCAACGCTCCGGCAGGGGGTGGCAGCAGCTGAAAGAAGCCAAAGGAGGTTTCACCAGTTTCACAGGCGCCGGAGAAGTGCGTCAAAGTCCTTTACATGTTTTCGGGCGCACCTCGCAAAAGTGACGTGCGCAGCTGCCTCCAGAAACTGTGTGACTCTAAAGGGGTCCGTTTAGAAATGACGGAGATAGATCTCCAAATATCAGACAGACATGACATGTCTGACGATGACAGGTGGCCAGACCTGGCTACCAGGATAAGAAATGGGGAGTTTGACATCATTATTATGTCACCCCCGTGCTCCACATGGTCTAGAGCGGTTTGGGCGAACAGACTGGGGCCCAAGCCTGTTAGATCAAGGGAATTCCCGTTTGGTTTCCCATGGTTGAAGGCAGAGCTGAAAGAAAAGGCCGACCTCGGTACGACCTTAGTCATGAGATGCATAGAGGCCTTGGAGCTGGCGCCGGGCGAGACTGTATGCCTCTGGGAACACCCAGAAGATTTGGGCCGGGCACGCAATGGAACGCCGGCAAGCGTGTGGCAACTTGAAGCCCTACGCAAGGTGGCCAAGAAGAGGGGCATGGACACAATTGCCTTCCACCAATGCACCTACGGCGCTGACTACCCCAAACCAACAAGGTTTCTCAGTGATGCGAGAGGACTTTTGCAGCTGGGATTTGGCGGTTGGCCCACCTTCAACAAAGACGCATATTATTTGGGCCCCTTGCCCCGCTCGTGCGGGCACTCGCACCAACCTTTGATCGGTGCAGAGAATGGCGGGGGCTTCAAGACAGCGCCTACAGCGGCCTACCCTCCAGAAATGAATCTGATGATCGCCTCATTGCTGTTCAACCACTGGCACCAAAGCCAGCCCACGACGCCTGTCGGAGGGGGAGAAGACCAACAGCAACATGGGTGCGCGAGGACTGGCAATGGGGACGAGGAGGAGCCATACAAAACGAGGACGGTTGCGGAAGAAGATCCAGCGCTGGAGCTGGCAAAGGCAGTGGAGAAGGAGAAAGGAGTAGTTTCATACTCCATGAGAGGGCCAGGACAGAAGCTCTTCCATGACGGGGCAGGCTTGTGTTCCCAGGGGAATAGGAGACCGGCCTTCCGGGATATAGCCGTGATGAGCATTGTGGGAGAGGAGCTACTGGCCTTGACGACCGAAGAAGACTTGAGGAATGATTTGTACAGGCTTGCCTTGGGTAGATGCGAGGGCCCGCCCTTCCGAGAAGGTGTGGTGGAAGCGGCCAGGAACTTGTGGCTCAGGCACCTATCACAGAGATCGGGGGTCGAAAGGGCAAAGCTGGAACATGTGGAACCCCGGCAGCCGTTCATGCTGGCGGCCATCGCGGAGCACCTCAAGATCATTGGGGACCCGGACTGGCAGGCCTTCGGCACAGGGCCGGGTAGCTTCAGGACGGGTGTCCCCCTGGGGGTACAGGGTATGCCCCGTGTCCCGGAAGTCTTCGAGGCCAAGGAGAAATGGCGCAAATACGAGCCCGTCCCCTGGCCTACAGACAAGAACAATTACACCTCGGCAGTGGACAATGCGGGGGCGGTGCAAAGACAATTCCGCAAGGAGGAGGCTCTGGGAGCCATGGTGGAGATGGACGAAGGAGCCGCTAGAGAGCGGTACGGCGATAGGCTGAGGGTGGCTGCGCTGGCAGCCTTGGAAAAGTCGGACCACAGCTTCAGGGTGGTGCACGACGCTACGCACAATGTTGGGGTCAACTCCCAGATCAAAGTGGAGGACCAATTGAGGTACCCGGGACCAGCGGAGATCAAGATGGCCATGAGGGTTCTGTTTCCCCCGACCTTCATCCTGGCAGCAGACATCGCCAGGGCCCACCGGCTGGTGCTGGTGCGAGAGGAAGACTGGGGGTACCAGGCGTGCCGCACTGGAGTGGACGACGATGGAGGGAGCAGTGGAAAGGTGTGGCTCAACACCGTGGGTACCTTCGGTGTGACGTCAGCGAGCTACCACTTCACCCGGCTCTTTGCGGCAATCACGAGGTGTGCCCATTCCCTCCTGGCCAGGCGGGACAGCTGCCAGCTGACCTACGTTGACGACCTATTGTTCATGGCCAACGGCCTTGGGGGACTGGCTGCGATCTGGGTATCACTGTTGTTTTTGATGGTGGTGGGGACCCCCTTTTCGTGGCACAAGTTCCAGGGAGGAACTCGGGCCGAATGGATTGGCTTCCAGGTCGACGTGAAGGAGTGCGAGCTGGGGATGACAGAGAAGAGGCTCAGATGGGCGAGAGACTGGATGGAGCGGACGATTGCAAATAAGATTGTGCAGGTTGAAGAGTTCAGGTCGGCGCTGGGCCGATTGGCCTTCATGATGTCGGCCTTCACACATCTGAAACCGCTGCTGGGCCCGCTCTACTCCTGGATCACGGCGGTAGACCACTGCCGGACGCTACAGGTCCCTGCGGCGATCATCTTGATCCTGACCTTCCTCAAGGCGACGATGGTTCCCGGGATAGCCCGCACTAAGGTGAGGGTATCACCGGATGTGGAAGGGGACCACATCTTCAGGTCCGATGCAAAAGCCGAGGGGGAAACGGTTGTCCTTGGCGGTTGGTGCTGCGGCGATTCCCATGACAGAGGGCAATGCCGATGGTTCTCCGTGAAGTTGGACAGGAGCAATGCCCCATGGGTTTTTGAAGCCGGAGAACCTTACAGAGCCATAGCGTCGTTGGAGCTGCTGGGGACCCTTGCGTCGATCAAGGCCTTCCCGCCGGTCCAGGGCAGCGCCCGTAGTTTCTGCCTGTCGGCCGGCACGGACAATCTGGGGAACCGGCACCTCGTGTCCCGGCTCTTGACGACAAAGTTCCCCTTGTGCGTCGTATTGATGCAGCTGGCCTGGACGCTTCATTGCAAAGACCTGGAGCTGAGGCTGGACTGGCTGCCAAGGCTACAGAACCGAGAAGCTGACGCCCTCACCAACGAGGACTTCAGTGGATTCAACATGGACTTACGGGTCGAGATAAAGCCAGAGGACCTTCTGGAGGAGCAGTTCAAGGAGCTTTTAGAGAAGGGAGGTGAACTCTTTGATGAAATCAAAGAGCTCCGGAGGAAGAGGAAGGCGGGAGTGATGAAGTCACTTCCTGCCAACAAGAAGTCCAAAGGGACGGACCTGATTGGTCGATGGTGACCCGAAGACGTCGTTGAGGGGGGATGAAAGTGAAGGCGCTTCGGATCTATGTATTGGATCGGAGGAAGCTGCCGGAGTCATCCTCCTTGACTTGATCTCGGGCACTTGACCAATTAAGAAGGAGAGAAAAAAAAGGAAGGGAGCGGCTATTATCAAATATCATTGGAATGTTATAATTAAACAGGTATGTATTACCTGGAGATAAGAACTCATTAACAACCGCGTTAATTGGTTCCGTGGCGACGTATACCTGCGCATGCTGGCCAAAAGTACTTTGGCCAGGTAACCTTACGGGCGTGCGGACCGGGTGTCACGCGGGGTGGACGTGTCCATCGGAGTGGGACAGCAAGGGTGGTACGTTCCGTGACTTAGGATGCTGTCAATGTATTTGACAGCATCCTCCGTGAAGCGGGAAAGTATTTCCCTTGTAACCTCGTTGCACAACGCCTGCCAAACCAAACAAATTGAAAACACGTTCATGTACTGTTTTCCGTTTAGTAATTTCCCAGGAAAGTATTTCCTGGAATCTTTACTATGTTTTGTCGTTACTCCCAATTTGATGGATGAATGTATTTCATCCCTCGGGGAGTTCTTCATCTTACTGGTGAGTAAATCTCGAAATTATAATCCCGTCTATTTGGGATAGGTTTTCCAAACTGTCTTGGGTGAATGTATTTCACGATGTCTTTATATTAAATCCTGATGAAAGTACTTCATCATGGATTGACTGTGGGTTTTAAGTTTGTTTCGTCAGCAACTGCTGGCTCTGAGGGGGCCTTTCAAAGAAAGGGCTCCCACCCACCCGCACCTAGGGGGGATGAAAGTGAAGGCGCTTCGGATCTATGTATTGGATCGGAGGAAGCTGCCGGAGTCATCCTCCTTGACTTGATCTCGGGCACTTGACCAATTAAGAAGGAGAGAAAAAAAAGGAAGGGAGCGGCTATTATCAAATATCATTGGAATGTTATAATTAAACAGGTATGTATTACCTGGAGATAAGAACTCATTAACAACCGCGTTAATTGGTTCCGTGGCGACGTATACCTGCGCATGCTGGCCAAAAGTACTTTGGCCAGGTAACCTTACGGGCGTGCGGACCGGGTGTCACTACTTTATTCAGGTTGCAGACGCCCAATGGAATGCTTTTAGTGCTGGTGTACGTCGACGACTTACTTGTCGCTGCTGAAAGTCCGCAAGAAGGTGAATCGTTCTTGCAACAGTTGCAGACGATTTGGCGAATAAAACTTACTGGAAGGATTCCAGCGCTTAAGAGAGGCGTCCTACAGTTTTTGGGGAGAACCATCTATCGAGAAAGGGATGGGGAATCCACCTTAAATCTGGGGGTAAGTGAGGCCTACATGACAGGAGTCATCGACAGTTGGCACGAGAAGTTGAAACCGAACGAGACACCGCCAAAGCTGGAAGAGATCTACAAAGATCGTGAGAAACAGGGTGAAGACACGCCTTTGACAGCGGAGGGTGAAGCACGGTACCGCAGGGTTCTAGGACAGTTGGCGTGGGCCGCGTTGTCCAGAGCAGATTTGTGTTTTTCAGTTTCATACCTTGCACGATTCCAGTCGAAGCCATCAGGTGCAGCAGAAGCTTGTTTGCGTGCACTGTTGCGTTGGTTGTTGACGCGCCTTCACCGCGTGCAGATCATGCCTTCTCCGGAAGGATCGCCAAGCGTAGGACCGCGAAGCGTTGTTGGTTCTGCGATGCGTCTTGGAATGTGGCCTCCGTGTCAGGGGGAGTCTTGATGTTCGAAGGTTGCTGCATCAAGGTGTTTTCTAGGAAGCAGGAATGTCCAGCTTTGAGTAGCGCAGAGGCGGAGTTGTGTGCGATGGCAGAAAACTCGAAGGAGTTAGTGTCGTTGGGAATGTTGTTGGAATCCATTTTGGATGGGATTCCGCTGACCATTTTGGGAACCCCGCAGTGTACAACAGGGACTTACCAGTTGGTTTTGCGCAACGACGCGACGGCCGCGATCAGCATAAGCTCAATTGAAGGGTTGTTGCGACGCGTCCGGCACATAGAACTTCGTGCGAAGTACATTCAAATTCTGGTGAAGAAGAAGCGTCTTTTGCTTGAGCACATCCCTGGACTTCAAAACCCGAGTGACGGTTTGACCAAGTCATTCAAGACTAGGGATATGCTGATTAAGTAGGTTTGGTGCCAGGACTCGACACCAATGGCTTGTCATGGATCCGTACTTTTCAGCGTAGGCTGCAGTTGCTAGCCGAAGAAGGGGAGATGTCAAGTTTGTTGGAAGGGTCGGTAGCACCTGAATGTTGAAATTTTCCGAACGAATTGCATGACACAAGCCTGTTCCACTGAGGCATTTTGCTAAGGAACTTTTGTTTTTCGCTTGTGACTCAACGGCATTTTGCTAAGGTTTTGAATTCGATAGACGTTGGAATCGCACGTGACCGCCTGGAATCCAGTTTGCTCCTACTGAAGGTCTTTGTCCCTTCCTACAGTTTTCACTTTGTACTGTTCTTTTGTTGCGAATCGGCGGATGTGGACCTGGAGTACTTCTGTTGTCCCGTCTGGATGGTTTGCTGGAGTTTTTCTGTTTTCCGTGACGGTGTCCTGTCCTTTTCCGTCTCGGTTCTTTGGTCCGTCTTTGTCATGTTCGACTGATGTGCATTGTTGGACGATGTTGATCAGTAGAGGGATTCGTTTTGGACTTTTCGCTGTCTGACTGTAATTTCTGTAGTGCACATGGTGCGCAAGATGTTGACACTCAGGTTGCAGTTGTTGGAAGTTTTTCGTTTGCATGTCATGCCACGACACGTTTTTGAAATAAAACGTCGGAAACGAAAACCAGTGAAACACCAGTTTTTCCAAACCTCAAGTTTTGTTTTTGTGATTTTTGGAATGCTCTTAATGTGATGCAGAAGCCGTTTAGGAACAGAAGCTGTTGAGTGAGAGAACAGTTTGTTTTTGCAACCCTAGTCTGCGTGGATCAAGAGAAGAGAGCTTTGAATAGCTTCAGCGTCGGTTCTGTAGATGGGAAGTATGGCAGATGCAGTGAATGCTCCGGAGAAGAAGACTGAAGTCAGTGAGGCTTTGAGTCATGGAGCTACCTCAGTGGAGGAGTTCGTACCAGGACAGGTCGCAGTGCCTGCTTTGGATTTTCCAGCCAATCCGAAGTCTCCGACAGAGCTGAAAGAGGACCAAGTTGGAGACGAAGTCGACTTGGCAGTACAAGAACCGCCGGAGAAGCGAGCTCGCAAATCTCTTGAAGATGAATTGGGAAAGCTGATGGAGCGCACCCGAGAAGGGTACGACCTTACAGCTGCAGCGCTAGATAAGGTGCAGCAGCACCTTGATATAAGCCGCCAAATTGGCAAGGACCTTGCGCAGTTAGCGCAAGAGGTGCATTGCGAGAAAGTTGGAGCCAAATACCAGTTGGCCCAGCTCCAACAGGTATTAAGTTCATTCCAAAACCTGGAATGGCAGGTTGGTGGTACCAAACAGGAATCCAACACCAGCATCAAAGCCATCGCCAACAAACTTTTGTCCAATGCGACAACGTCCAAAGAGGCTTTGAAGTCAATCCATGCTGAGCTCAGAGAAGGCAATGCAAAGCTGATTAAAGCTATCAACGATGGCTTCGGCACGTTGGCAGCAGCCTTTACGGCGACATCGTTGCCTGGGAAAGAGACAGCAGGATCTGGATTCCCACCTGCACCATCACCACCTGTTGCACCACCAGCAGCACCGCCGGTGGCACCATCAGCGACAGCGATGTATGGAATGGCAGGCTATGCCTCCAGTTATGCGGCTGCACCGCCCAATACTCCTCAGACACCAGCAGTGGTGCCCACGGCACCATCGGCATCGTCGATATCTATGCCCCCAGCTCCAACTATGAGCAACCACCGCGACCTTTGGTCCTGATGGTTGCAGATGAATCAGGAGCTCCACGCAGAGCGGCCGTGTCACCAACGCGGCACCTCCCCGGAAGCAAACTTTCTGGGACGTATTTGAATGAGTTCGGTCTTGGTTGCATTCACCATGCTGGAGGATTCCACCGCAGACTCCCTGACGGGTTCCTTCCAAAGTGAGTTTGAGAAGATCGAACCTGAAGGTTGCCAAGTTTCCAGAAAGGGAACAATAGCTTTGAAGGAGCTGATCTATGACTTTGTTTGACTGAAGCTGCAGCGTGAGTGTGCGTAGCTCGGAGAATAGGTTTTATAGCCTCGAGGTTCACCCAGCTATAGCCAAGAGTGCAGAGCCGTGCAGCTGAGAGTCAAAAAGAGAGGATTGCAAGTCATTTGAACTTGATTGCAAGTCATTTGAACTGGATTGCAAATCATTTGAACTTGAATGCATCAGTTGTTTTTCATTTGCTTGCATTGTGTTGCTTGATGTACACGTTTTCATTGCAGAAGCCGTCCAAGAAACAACAGAAGCTGTCAGTTCAGAGCTGCTTGCATAAGCTGTGTAGGAAACCGTTGTCAGGGTATCCAGTTCTGTTTGCAGAAGCCGTCCAACTATCTTGCAGAAGCTGTGCATAGGTTTTGTAGGTGTTTGACAGTTGCAACAGTTTTGGATTTTTCATGTCTTGTGATGTCAATTCATGTGATGTTCATTTCACTGTTTTGGATTTGATGTCTACTGTTTTCACTTCTAACTAGTTTGATGTCACTTGCATGCAGTTGGACAAGTTGGACACATGTGGACTCATTGGACGATGTATGCAACAGTTTTCACAGTTGCCATGGTTGTGCAGTTCAACTTGTCGACAGTTTTTCACTGCTCTGGTTTGGGATGTTCTTGCAACTTGTTGTACTTGATTTGAACGTGTTGTAAGTGACTTGAACTAAGGTACAACAATGATCCAATGATGGAGCTGTAAAAGGGTCTGAGAGATGGCAATGCCATATGAGACACCCTTGCAGCTGAGGATCATAACATGTTTGTTTGTTGCATGTTCTTGGAACTTGGTTGAAGTTGTCTTGAACTTGACCTGTTGTTGAACTCTTCCTGAATGT